GGCCCGCCCGCTCGTGTAGGCCCTTTTGGCGCGCTTCAATTTGCCTCACTTAGCGTGTGCGGGTTAGGTTTCTATGCGTTATTATTCTAAGGTTACGATATTCAGTTTCAAGTTTCGGTACACACCGTGAACTACATTATCCGCTAACTAACCCAACGATCTCGCTAACTATGTAAAATAAGACGCCCTTCTGCCGTCCTTCATCCTCTCGCGTATTCATAGTCACTACTTACTACGTATTTTCTTAGCTTAGTTTTGCATGCAACTATGTCAGCTATGCTAGTGAAGTTAGCTTAGCAGGCATAGTTGGTTGCATGTAAGTTAGCTAGCTTCGTTCGCGGTGTGGCCTGCGCTTGGGACTTCTCTCTCTTCTTTTTGGCTCCTATCGTGTCTGTACTACACACAGAGTTATCACTGTTTAAAGCGATCCATTTAATAGTACATTATTGCAGAGGCCGAGAAGTAAGGGAATGCTGGACGAGTATAAGTTACAAGGGCGAACGCCAGGGAGGCCTGACAAGCAATGCCCGTTACCGCCGAGGCAAGTATAGAATTTTTTGTCAAACAATGCGACGAAATAATTAAAAACTAAAGAGAGGAAGATGTATAATAGAAAAACTAAAAAAAATATTAACTAGCATTAAAATTTATTACTAAAAGAAAATGTTATTATTTTCCAGACACGTTGATAGTATAGTCTGCTGAATTTCGGATGATGTGTTTGAATATCTATTACTGTATTTTCGTTATTGCTCTTCTCACTAGCGCTCATTTTTGCGACCAAAATACAAAAAAACAAAAGATTACCAAAACACTTTAGGTCTAAATGTTACCGCCATTTTCTTTTTTTTAAAGTAAGCGGTACGCAGTTATGAACATTGGGCAGTTGGCTGTATGAGTTTTTTTTTTCGACTGTTTACATAGTCCATAGTTCAGTTAGTAGGTAGATTTAAAAGTATAGAGAAGAGGACAGTAATGGATGTCCGTAAGTGACAAACTTTCCGTGTTCGTTTTTTGAAAGTAATACAAAAATTTCCGAGCTTGTTTGAGAAAGTAATATTTTTATTTTTGATAGAAAATAAAATTTGATGAATTATTGTTGTTTATGATGCTAGTAATATATAGTCGTGAGACATTGTTAGTATTTTAAAAATAAGTCTATATATTTTAGTGATGATATTACAAGTCACCTACAGGCAATAATCCTGCCTTTTAAATAAAATCAAGTAAGTAAAAACTTACCGACAATCGAAATCAGTGTTATCAAAGACTTCGAGTGGCAGTTTAGGGAACGTGCTGTAAAGTCCGTAGTATTGCTGGTCAGTCAGTTCATACTCCGAAGGGGGCAGCAGCCAGTATGGCTGGACTCCCACCTGCCGGAGCATTTTCTGAAAGAAATCCAGGAAAATAGTTCAGTTTTTTCTTTATGATAACAAGTGATGAACAAGTCGTGGGCATGGTGGCAAGCGACACGTCAGTCCATTGCAGTTGCGGAGTCACTCAAGAGCTTTAAATCGCAAAGATCTGGGCACTGCCACTGCGCCTGTTACACTGTGACATAAGTTGAGACGTCCCATATGTCTGTAATTTCAGCAGCACCCTTAGGCGCCGAGTAAACCTGTATCTTGCGTTGGATACAAGCAACCGGCCACTAGAAACAAATATTCTATTTCATACAAATTGCGGTTGTAGCAGCCGACGACAGTGTCCGACTGCTGCCACCGGCGACTATGTCCGGTTGCCGAAACAGGCGACTGTGTCGATTCCATATCAATTGTTTGAGAATAGAATATTCGTTTCTAGTTGCCGCTTGCTTGTATCCAACACAAGACACACGTTTGCGTGGCGCCTTACCCTTCAAAACCGGAACGCAGTAGGGTGCTGCTTGGCGGTAGAAATATGTAGATAAGGTAGATAAAGTACGATACTTCCCTGGATGAACTCCTTCACAAAGAGTTCTACTGCTACAAAATGTTATACAGGGTGATAAAAAAATCACTGGCCATTTTTTTTCCCTGAACACATTAGTGAAATAAAACAAAAAAAGTTCCCATTTTTTTGATGTTAATATTTCCCAATAATTTCTAACGCGTGGTTAACTCAAAATAGTAAATTTAATTGAGCGATCGACGCCGAGTTGTCTAGACGCCTAGGCGCTCACGCGATGCGCTCATCCTACCGCAAAATGGCGGCTATTTGGTTTCGCAAATTAGAAAAGGATTAAGTTTAAATACAAGTTTTTATAAATAAAAATTATTATTCTGCATTGCTAAATAAATACCCTCCGTACTACAACAAAAACATCTGAAATAAAATGCAGTAATACACCGCAAATCCTGCATTTAAAAAGCAATAATGAAATTTTTGGTATACTTGGGTAAATATGATAATATTCCGTTTGAGTGGTTCTAACGTTTACCATGAAATTACTCCTTAAAGTATAGTTTATAAACATTTATATTCAGGGTAAAAGGGTAAACTTAAAAAACGCAACTTACAGTATGTTTTCAATAAATAAACACCGACATCACCAGCCCAAACAATAAATAACACACACGATTGTCGTGACGTATTTTTGAAGTTGTTTATTTTTTTTAAATGACAGACCCAGGCATTAAAAACTTTATGGTTTGCTAGAGTAGTTACCGAAATAGCAATTAGTATTAGTTCTTTTACCTGTTATAACTTCGATATCCGATAAATCGGTATAAAATCATCACCGGCACCTCTAGGTGTGGTACGCTTCCAGAGACGCATGAATCGCGTGAGCGGCTAGGCGACAGCACGTCGCGCCGCGCGACAACAGACCTGCGCTAACGCACCGCTCGTTAGTTTAATACTTTGTTGTCTGTCAAATACATGAACTCGCGCGCTGACTCCGACCACTGCCCCTACACAGTTCTTGTTGTTATAGCAACGGCGTCTGCTAATCATCGGGTATCAATATTGTTCACAATTTTCCGGAAAACTTTGAGATGTCATAACTTATCTAACTATATGAAAAAAACCGAACAAGTATTTTTTTTTTCCATTGTACAGTATGCTCCTTTAAAATGGTCAGTGGTTTTTTATCACTTGTATGTGGTGGGATGCATCTACATTGATTAAAAAATTTGTACAAAGTGTGTGAGGAATGATGTGAAGGAAGAAGAAAGAAAATGTATATAAAGAAGGGAAACTAATTTAAAAATATACTAACAAAATGTATTATACAATCAATAACATTTACAATTGCCACAGGACATCTGAGCGGCCAACAGCAACACGTTAAGGTGTGAATAATTGTTCAGCACAATGTTTTGGGAGCTGTACATAAAAGGACCTTGTATCCATTACCTTCAAGTTGGCAGCAAGGAATTTCCTGCGTAGTCTCTCGATCTTGACCAGTCGCGGCAGCTCCTTAGGCAGTACCACTGCCAAGAACTGAAGCTTTGGCACAAATGCCTCAAACGGGAATTGCTGTAACGCAATGATATAGCTTAAAAATATGCAAAATTACAACTTTTCAGAATAGAGGTTTAAAGATTCTACGAACGAAATTGGTTGAATAATTTTTTTATGCGTAATAGTACATTGTTTATTAAATGCGGTAAATAAAAAATTACGAACGAGACTATGAGAAGCCCGAAGTCGAAGCCTGGGGGCTTTCGGAGTCGAGGTTCATAATTCCCGTACCGCCCATTACACATACAATGTTTTTCACATTTTTCATCACACTAGCACGTAAATAGTACTTATGATTGCATGCAGGCTAACTTGACTATAATGCCTCAAAATAAAAACCTCGGGCCTTTTTTCCATGGTTGTAAAAATAAAAGTTACAAAAATATCACAAATAGTCATGTTAGAAATCGGAGATTTGAGTAAATAATACATCGTACGTAATTTCTATGTCCTTTTCAGGACGAAGATAAAAATGTGGTGTCAAATGTAGTAAACGCAATAATGTTTGTAGTTAGCATTTGTATTAGTTAAATTATAACTCTTTCAGATACTATATTAATTTAATAATATATTTGAGCAGGAACTTTATAATTTTTTCTTCAACAAAAATCAGTCAAAACGAGTTATGTGAAAACGCATGTATGCGAGGTTTGCACTCTAAGGCGACGATGAACATAATGTGTTTCATATAGTTCGTATTATTTTTTAACCGACTTCAAAAAAGGAGGAGGTTCTCAATTCGACTGTATGTTCTTTTTTTTTGTATGTATGTTACGCGATAACTCCGATATTTGTGAACCGATTTTCATGATTCTTTTTTTGTTGGAAAGGGGGTACTTTCAGAGTGGTCCCATTTCATTTTGAAGAAAATCATCCACCTCAAAGGGTGGCTGTTTACGCATGAAGATTCATTTTTATAAATAGCGCCTAACTTTAATTTAGGAGCAATTACTTTTAGCAATAATTTAGTTGATTTTGCTATTTCTCCAATTCAAGGCGTTTTTCTCTCGATATACTTTGAGTAGTGTGGTAGTGAGAACCTATTTTTATTATCTCCAGTATCAAGTCCTGTATAGTGGCGAACTAGGGGATATTTCAATGAAACTTAGCAAATAGACGTAATTCCACGTGCTTTTGAGGTCGGTTTTTTTAGTACTCTGTACTGAGATTATTCGACTTTCATGTTACAAAGCACTTTTGACGTTTGATCACAAGTGGCTTTAGGGCGCATTTATTCGACACAAATTACATAGCGCTCACCCCGCGCGGCCGCCGCGCGACCGCGTGCGTCTAACTGTCATGGCAAAATACGCTCTATTTATTTAGGTTTTACGTTTTGACTTAAATGAGCGTCTCGGGCACGCGGGCGAGCATGGCTTCAAATTGGTCTACGCGGCGGCTCGCGCGGTGGCCATTATTCAGAGGAATTTCAATGTTGTTGGCTAGTAAATAGAATTCAGATTCGTCATTAATGTACAAGAAGGCGTGGTAACTGGGCGGTCACCGCGCGGCGGCCGAGCGAAAACTCTCTCCTCGTATAACTGGACGCTTGAGGGTATGAAATATACACATCTAAAGTGTCTAGGGATCAAAGATGTTGTTGCCAAATACAGAAAATCAGTTTTTTTTAATAAACATTAAATATTTTTAACATCAATAGCTTTTTTGGTCAGTCTCATAATTAAAAAAAGTAAATAAACAAATAATTTAATAAATCTATGTATTTTTATTTAACTACCTTGATCACTAGACACTTTTGATGTGTATACAATAACAAATACTCATTAATGCATATAAGAACATACACACACAACAACAGAGTACAACAAGGGGTCTTATTCATCATCAACGTACGTCCCACTCTTGGGCACGGGTCTCTTCTCAGGCGAAGGTTTAGGTCATAGTCTGCCACGCTGGCCCAATGCGAGTTGGGGACTTTACACGTTTTCCGAGGGTTGTGAACCTTCTTCAAGTGTAGGTTTCAACACGATGTTTTCCTTCATCGAAATCATACATTTTCAAATTAAACTTGGCACAAATTCCGGATTCGAACTCACGCCCTTTGCTTGAAAGGCGGTAGGTCAAACCATAAGGCTACCATGGCTTCTCTTTATACATAGTGTATAGTATTACAGTCTTATAGCTAGAAAGCAATTTCCTTCAGGCGACCTCGTCAACCACACATCGAGTATATAACCAGAAATAGAGACGAAATAAGGACCATCCATCCCTGGCAACTCATCATGCAATTAGGCCTTATATCATTTTAGATATCAACTCTCGTTTGCGCTGAAATCACAAATTAGAAAACTGAAATAGTAAAGCGCCAACAACTGACCTGTGTACGTCACCGTATACTACAAAAATATTCTGTATTTATTGTAATAAAGATAATATCTCTAACAATGGGGGACATTCCATTTCGGTGGTGTGGGGAAAAACAGCAAGACATCTAATTACAAAACAAACGGAATCACATTTCATCGGTAATTAAATATTAAATATGTAATTTTGTATATATTGTCCATTATAGCAAACCTCAAGTAAATCTGGTCGATTTGAAGGGAAACAATTGACGACACCTGTCGATTGCGAATTCGGGCTGGCCAATCGGAGCGCAGTTGTCACAGTAATGATTTGGCAGAATAATTTTCAAACAAATTAAATGACATTTCGTTTCTATTTCTGGTTTTACACTCAATGGGTTGACAGGATAAGCTTAAAAATAATAATAAACATAAGGTGCAATAAAAGCACATTACATGTATATGAATCCAAGATGCAAGAAAAAAACTACTTTCAATATTTAGTAAATGCTACCATAGTGTTACGTTAATTATAACCAGCTACTGCAAAAATGTTTAATTATATAAAATGCTTACAACACTGTCATCTTCTTTATATGTAGTCCAACGCCCGGGTGGAAGAAGTAACTTTGGTTTATGAGGTTTCGGCAGCGATATAAGGGTGGGCGCTAATTTCTCCGTTTTGGCCTAAAAGAAGCACATAAATATAAACCGCGATCTCAAACACACAATTTTTATGAAAACACAATTCTACAAAGTTGTAGAACGAATGTGAGTGGTAATGTGGAGCAAGACTGACTCCGGCGCACGTATCACAACAGGCAAACATATTATGAATAAATGAAAAGTGTGATAAGATTGATGCAAGTTTTTTTTATAATATCAAGTGACGGGACGAACAATTCTTGCGCCTGGTGGTAAGCGACACGCCTGTCCGTAACAGTTGCAGTGCCGCTTAGAGCTTTAAATTGCCTAACTAAACCAACTAAAATTGTACATTAAGACTTCAAATTAGACGCTTGAAGAAGCGCTGCAGTTGAGCGACGGTGGCGCGGCAGCCGCGCGTCAGTGACACTTCAGTAATTTTTAGTTCACTAATTGTGACTGCAAAAATGGTGCGTGCGTGTCACGACAGCGGCGCTGCAACTGCGCTTCTAAATACTGTAAAAAGTAGTAGAAGCGTGGCTGCACAGCACCACCGTGGTGCCACTGCGACGCTTTTATTAGCGCCTAACTTGAAGGTGCCCGTAGTAGAGAATTGCGGCAGCACTCGCCACTGCCGCCCCGGTATCAAGTAACGCCGCCGCCGCCGCCGCGGTGCTTGTATGAAAATGTGTAATTCAAAATGGACGACCACAATCATGGCCCAGCGGCGGCTGTGCCACAAATTACACTCAAACTCACGAGAGAAATAAATGTAGACCATACAAATATTAATCCCCGCCCGGCAATCGAACCTGGAACTTTTGCGTGGAAGGCCAGTATGGTAACAGTTCGGCCACAGGCGCAGTTATTGATCAATGAACGTTCTAAGACTGATTACAAATGGCGCTACAAGTTTCCGGAACTGGCCACTTACATCAAACAATACTTAAAAAGTAATTACAACATTTGAAAATGGAACTCTTTGGCTGTAGAATACAGTTTGTTTCATCTGACTGTCACTTGTTTTTACATTGTGGCGTTATTTTAGAAATTGGTTGTCAACATTCTAACACGTGAAAATTTTCGTAATACGATTTTCTACGACTTGAAGTGTAATTTAACAGCTCAGCGGAGCTTCTCTCGGCTTCAAAACTGCTTTTGGTGATAAAGCACCATGCAAGACAATTATTTACAGCTGGTTTGCAGAATTAAAACGCAGTCGTGTGAATCTCAGTGACGAATTTTGTGATAGTCGCCCGTCCACTGCTGTGGTCAACAAAAATACCGATGCTGTTTTTTTATATATATATAATAGGCATACGCTTGGCCACAATCAAACCTGATGTTAAGCGACGATGTGGCCGACAATGGGACGCGTTTGCCTCAAAAATGCCTATTCACTCTAGCCTTGAACAGCCCCAAATTGTACTTTTCGGGAAAAGCTTGGACTCCACAAGAGAATTATTGTTAGTAAGTCTCTTTGCTTTTCGCTCCACCGAGTCCAAGGCAGCTAACTGGTAATGGGCAGAGCCGTCCCAAAGGTGGCAGCAGTACTCCATACCGGATCGAACTTGTGCTTTATACAGATTTAAAAGCTGTTCAGGTGCGAAGTACCGCCTGACCTTGTAATGTATGCCTAGTTTTCTGGCAGCAGTTTTTGCCAAGCACTCGATGTGTCGCCCAAAGTTGAGATTGGATGATAAGTCCGGACCAAGTAGCACAAGGTGGTCCCTTATCGGCACGGATATGTGCGCCGTGTGATCAAAACAGACAGGCATGTGACATACCATGAGATTCGGTCTTTAGGCATAGGCATGAGTCAAATACAATCAAATACTACAAACATTTGGGTGTAAAAGCTGTGCTCTCGGTGGATCCCATACAAATTTGACTGAGGCTCAAAAAAACGGATCGCGTCACTTGGAGCAATGCAATGCTTACCAGATTCAATAAAGGAGCGTCAAATTTGGTGCGGGACTTAGTAGCAGGTGACGAAACATGGATTTATGGTTACGATCCCAAAACAAAGCAGCAATCAAGCGTATGGGTCTTTCGAGATGAGCCGAAACCAATCAAAGTGGCACGCGTGCAAAGTGCCTCTAAGCGGATAATTGCTTCTTTTTTCAATAAAACTGGCCACGTGGCTACTGTTGCTTTGGAGAATCGTTGTACCGTGAATAGTGATTGGGACACTACCATTTGTTTGCCGGAAGTTATTGACAAACTCCGTAAAAATAACCGTAAACGCCGTATCATCTTGCACTACGACAATGCCAGTTCTCACACGGCCAGACAGACAAATGAATTTTTGAAGGTGAACAATGTTGACCTTATGAGGCATCCCGCGTATAGTCCCGACCTGGCATCTTGTGACTTTTATTTTTTTCCAAAAATTAAGATCTTATAGTGCGCTCCACGTAATTGAAATCGTCCATTAGTAGACAATTGTAAACAAATGCAAGGGCGACATAACAACTACAACTGTTGTTATGGCGCCGAGTGTAATCAGCCTTGGGTTAGTAGTTAAGTTTTTTGTTGTCTTAAAAATTAAAATATTGTTTCGCAGCTTTAACGACGTATTTACCTGTAATATTAGTTTCATTCGCTTTTTAGCACATAAGTCTTTTGTAGGATCATCCTTAGTAATTTCAGAAACCAATTCCGAGTAGTAACCCCTTTTGGGTATCGCATCCCTGGAGATGTTGTCGTAGATCACATCGTGGCGCTTTATCTTTTTCTTTTTGCTATACATTATTAAGATACATAAAGCTTATTATATAAAATTAATTCCTAATTTTAGAATTTTATTTTATTTACTTGGCAAAACGTCAATAGTGAAGTGAATATTTTCTTCAGTTTACAAATTATTTTCGGCCAGTATGTAACAATTTGTTTTTTTTCATCCTCGAAGGTTTTATATCAAAAAACTGTGTTGTTGTCAACGATAATCCTAAACCCATGTACTAACTTTTTGTGGTACAATTTATCTATTGATTTTTATTCCAGAAATCAAAGTTAAATGATAGTTCAATAGGTACAGCGCTGCGCCATATATACTGTATGACCACGAGGTGTCTAGAAAAATACTTTAAAAAATTTCGGTCACAGAACTGTATTCATTACAGTTACTGGCGTTTAGCGCTTTTCCTAATTTCTGAATCAAGACATAATTTCATACGAGGTTAAAAAAACTAAAACTCAGCCTGAGTTCACCCTTAGAGGATGGAAAAAAACACAATAACCAGACTACTTTAATAAAAAAAAGCAAGCGTTTGCATTTGATCGTAGAGGGACGTAGAGGGAGAATAAAAAAAAAGAATAGAGGGAGAATTCGTTTTTTTTCCATACTCTAAGAAGGGGAGAATCGTTTGATGTTGTTGATTTTTAAATTCTTTAAGGTTTATAATAACATAATTCAGCCAAGTCTTTTCTTTAACCAAAGAGCATCGATACACAAATCATCGACAGAATGTAATTATTTTGTTGAAAGGACACTTATAAGACAATTTATGTGTCATTTTATGACGTCCTATTTATTCCTATTGTTATTTTTTTTACAATGTTTACAATGTTTTTTATTTTGTTACAGTTAAATTTTTTAACAATTTTTTAACTTTTTTTTTACATATATTATTATAGTTTTCATGATGCAAAGTGACCTAAAAGAAATCTACATGCCGTCGTCGGAGTCACAAAGGGTCTCCACTCGACAGACTGAAGTTAGCGTTGCAATTCATTTTGATATTGACTTCCTTTGCAATTTAGAACACGTTTCTTTATAAGAGCGATGCCACGCCGGCGTTGCCGGTGCGTTGCGTCGTGGCAACGCTAATGATTTCAACGCACTGATTCACGAGTGTTTGACTTGCGTTTTTCGCTTGATTGCGTGTCTGGCTTCGCGCATACGCAAAAATCTGTCGCGTACGCGCAGGTAGGACTGTCCACGAGTCGCTCGCTTACTTTGCGTTGGATTTCTTTGCGTTGCGTGAGTTTGATATCTAGCAAGCTTGTTATTTCCACGCAAGCAACAGGAAACGTTTGCGGAAGACAGTACCACTGGCCAATCACAGAGCAGCAACGTCCACGCGCCCACTACAACCAAATCAAAATGCGCGCAAGTCTCTCCGCAAAGCAAAGCGGAAGAATCGTGAACGCCTTTGCGCGGAAGGATGATTTCAATGCGGTTTACCAAAGTAATTCCCCCCCCCCCAACCGCGCAAAGGCGTTCCAACCGGCGTCCCCAACCGGTCCTCCAACCGGCCCCCCAAACCGGCCACCCAACCGGCCCCCCAAACCAAAATTGATTTCAATTGAATTGATTTTTTAATCTGATTGAATTTGAAATTTAATTGATTAACGCCCAACACTGGTCTCAGGGTGACGGGCACGGTGACATTGCCCCTCAGATCTTTGCGATTTAAAGCTCTGAGTGGCACTGCAACTGTTATGGACAGGCGTGTCGCTTACCACGAGGTAAGCGACTTGTTGTTTTACTTGTTCGTCCCGTCACTTGGTATCATAAAAAAGCTAGCTTCGTTCGCGATGTGGCCTGCGCTTAACGTCGCTTAAGCTCGCAGCACCTCACTCCTGGAAAAACGGGACTTTCGACATTATTTCAACTAGGTTTCCATACTTATAGGATAGGCATTGAAGCAGTCAAAACATCACAGTTTAATTCTTTATTAGAAAATGTAACTATTTTTTTCGGATTTAATTTCGAGTTTTCGCGCTTTCACGTACATTAATGGCGAATCTGAATTGTATTTACTAGGCAACAACATTTAAATCCCTCAGAATAATACAACCGCGCGGTCGCGTAGTGTCGAAAACTAAAAAAAATTTGGAGCGTATTTTGCCATGACAGTTAGATGCACGCGGTCGCTGCGCGTCAGCCAGGTGGTCTCACGGCGTGAGCGCGATGAAGTCGTGTCGAATAAACGCGCCTTTATATATTTTTAGTATTTTGTACTCTGTAAATACTAATACGTTTATTTTTCATTTGTAGATGGAACAAAATAACAAAGGATCACTGGAAGAAAGTTCTCGGTGTTGTCTAGATTTATTCTTCTCGATGTTGGCGGCCACTGTATGGGAAGATGCTCTGATTACACTTAACATTCTTGGTAACTATCGGGGGTCACTCTTAACATTACCTGAGGGCGGAGGGTTTTTGGATATTGCTTAGTAACTAAAACGAGTGATAAACAATTGACCTACCTTGACAAGCGCGCTGTCGGTCGGCTAAACGAAGACTGAGCACCCAGTTACACGACGCGAAATTTTCGTGAGGCCCAGTTACCACGCTTTCACGTACATACATTAATGGCGCATCTGAATTCTATTTACTAGGGACGCTCATTTAAGTTAAAACGTAGAAACTAATATTATAAATTTTGCCATGACAGTTAGGTGCACGCGTTTGCTGCGCGGTAGCCGCGCGGCGTGAATGCTAAGAAATTTGTGTCGACTAAATGCGCCCTGACACGCGATTATTCCTCTTTTTGTGATTTGGTTCTCTTTTGGTCAGGACACTTTTAAGCGCAAACCTGACGTTCATTTGTTGGTATAGTCTGTTCCAATTCATTTTAATAATCATTCATTTTAAATGGTTAAGTTTCTAAAGCAATCACTCAATAAATCGAATAAGCGACACTTTCACGTTTATTTCGAACATTTTGACTTGATATCTCATCACTTTTTCCAAAAATATTCATTTGAATAACATCGTAAAATCGTATTTGAAAAATGGTAGTCGAAAAGAGAGTCACTTTTTAATTAGAGATGTATGAATAGTCATATCATATAGTAAAAATATTCAGTTCATTCAATTAATGTTTTTGTAATCGGTTAGTAAATCAAAAATTTCAATCGCCATCGAACGAGTATCTAAGTGTAAGGATTTGAAGGAGGATTTAAAATTAAGATTTCAGAAATTTTGAAATATGCTTTTAGTAGGTTATGAAAACCGGTAGTATTACTTAATTAAACGAATCGATTCATTCAATTAATTAATTGATTTGAAGTTGGCAGTAAAGTATGGCCATCGCTAAACCGTCTATAGTCGGGTCGCGTATATGGCTTTCCGTATATAGTACGTCCCCCAAGGAGAGACGAGGTAGGTAGGCACGCTTTTCTAAGGGGCTAAACAACTGAAATACCGTACTCAGTATGTCCCCTCGAAGCGACTAATTAGATACGCCTTTAAAAACCCATATTTAGTACGTCCACTAGGGGATGTAGGTACGGCTTTTCGTAAGAAACGCTCGTAAGAAAGCGTCTGATTCGTCACGTCTCGGGTAATTATTCAAACAAAATATCTGCTATAACATAGATTTTATGTATTTATTAAAGTTAAAAGGAATACAATTACAAAATTAATCATTATCAATATTTAGAAATATATTTAAACAGTTTTGATCAAATACAAGAAAATTTATTACGAAACGAACAAGTGCTATTACAGTCTGAAAGAATTTTTCGAAGACAAAAATTAAATGTTATCCATTAAGTATATTCTAAAATATAATATAGAAATTAAGTAAGTGATGATAAGTGTATAGTAGACACTTTGAAATTCTCATCATTCGCTCCTTCATACTTCAATAATTGAAAATCAGTCACAAGTTTACTAACTAGACTTGTAAATCGTCCATTTTAACTGAAGCACAAACGATATTAATTAGAAGTTATGCCGCGAATTACGTAAAAATGCATGCAAGATCGAAATGAAATGTGACACTGCGTTCGCGTGAAATCAGTTGTTATTGATAATTATTATTATTTCTGGCCTATTTGAAACATGCCAATATCACCAAACATGCAACTAATTAGAGCTTAGAGTTGTCTATTTTGTAGGTGTTTATTGGTAGTGAGACTGAGAGAGATAGCTTCCGTGTTTATTATTTGCGTTTTGCACTGTATACTTAAAGCAATACGAGACATCTTGTTTGAACTATGTATGACCTTTGAGTTTTTGATTCTAGAATTACTCGACGTGACGAATCAGAGACGCTTTTTTGCGAGAGTTTCTTACGAAAACCCGTACATTATTCGTCGCCTAATGGACTTACCAAATACGGTTTTTTAATCGCTTAAATGTATGTGGTAGTTGGAAAGGCGTATCTAATTCGTCACTTCGAGGGGACAGTGTGCGATATTTCAGTTGTTTAGACCGTTAGAAAAGCGTACAGAACTCGTCTCTCCTTGAGGGACGTACTGTATACGGGAAGCCATATACGCGGTCGGGTCAGTGACTTGTTTATTTACTGTTTGTCTATATGGTTTGAAACGACGACGAAGTATAGCTGAATAAACTCAGTACAGAGTACTAAAAAAACCGACCTCAAAAGTACGTGGAATTACATATATTTGCTAAGTTTCATTGAAATATCCTCTAGTTCGCCACTATACAGGACTTGATACTGGAGATAATAAAAATAGGTTCTCACTACGACATTACTCAAAGCATATCGAGAGAAAAACGCCTTGAATTGGAGAAATAGCAAAATCAACTAAATAATTGCTAAAAGTAATTGCTCCTAAATTAAAGTCAGGCGCTATTTATAAAAATGAATCTTCATGCGTGAACAGCCACCCTTTGAGGCGGTTGATTTTCTTCAAAATAAAATGGGACCACTATGGAAGTACCCCCTTTCCAACAAAAAAATAATCATGAAAATCGGTTCACAAATACCGGAGTTATCGCGTAACATACATACAAAAAAAACAAAAAAACAAAAAAAGGACATACAGTCGAATTGAGAAAACACAAAAACAAAAAAAGGACATACAGTCGAAATGAGAACCTCCTCCTTTTTTGAAGCCGGTTAAAAAGTAAAAACCGAAGAAAAAAGTCAGGTCACAAATGTCGGAGTAATTGCGTAACATACACTACAAAATACAGACGAATTGCAAACCTCCTCCCTTTTTGAAGTCGGTTAAAAATAGATTAAGATAGCTACAGTAAGTGACATGTGTCGGTTTATACTGTGATCACAATCACAGATAAGTTGATGGCATAATTTATGGGTATATAGTCAACTTTGAGATAATAAAGACTTTGTATACATTAAATTGAGTCACTTAAAACAACAAGTGATTTGAAATTAGTATGAAAAAAAAAGTGTGCATGGCGAGAGGCGAGACAGACTCTGATTTTCAGTCGTTCCTGTTTCAACGTCGGTCTTTAATCCTTTGGACTTTAAATCATTCTTATTAAAAGCATCATACAATTGAAATTAAATCTTGAGTGTTACTATTTATATAATGATCGATCATCGTTTTCATTTAATCGATCATTGATCACAAACACAAATAAAAATCCCTGATCCGGCTGGACTCAAACCTGTGATTTTTCGCCAAACCGGAGCGGTAAATCGCAGTCGGCCGCTTGTCATTGGCGGATTTGTGTCAAATTTTCTCCGCCTGTTCTTACTTTATATATATTTATTTTAAGCGCGCTGCACTCACTTCCTAAATTCTAGGCTTATTTCTTATTCTTATTACCTCGGCCTAGGTTTGTTTCTTATTACCTTATAGGTAAGAACTCACGGAGCGGTTTTCACCTGCACCCGCTTAGCCGTCGTTAGCAACCACAGACGTTTTACGGCGTCTGCGAATAATATCCGGAACAATGTCTTTACTGTTGCACCTAGAATCATTTAGGCAGTCTCCTTTTTAATTCTTCAATAATGTAAAATGCGTTAGCTTACTGGTGTGTACAGTCATATACACGAGATACGAGACCCCCTAACATGCCCAAATTGACCTTTTTGTTCTGAGAGCCATCTTACGTATTGAACAAAGAAAAACATAAAGAAATTTCAATTTTATTGTATAAGCAATACAGTGGAGTGTTGCTTGAAGATAATCAACATATTTTTAAAACCAATAGGTACTAAGTTTCGTCATTTAATATCCGAGTAATTTGGTCGAGCGGCTTGTTGTATGGACTGCCAGATACAATACTCGTGGTTCGATTCCACGAGCACTATTTTGTTTTAACGTTGTATCTTTAAAAGCATTATTTATTTTAATGATAACATTGTTGATAAATCATAATACTTGCTCACTAGAAATTGCCTAAGGTGGGTGGGTAGATATTATTAATAAACTGTAGGGTGGGTATGGATAAATTAACATATGACGGAATCGCTCTGCAGTTTGCATACGATCGATCGTTTGGTTCCCATTTATCTATTCAGTATTAATTATTTTCAAAGTTTTCTTTCTTGTTTTAATATGCCGCACTTAAAGGAATTATAAAAATTAGAAATTATTATTCTGTATGGACAAGACTTAGACATTCCTTACACCTATCCAGAGGTTAAAAACAAAAAATATATTATATAGTCATGGCTAAATGATATTTATTGTTAATGTGACTCGAACCATGCTTGCCTTAACTTGCAAAGCAATCTTTATACCGCTTGGCCACGATGGCCTTGCTAAAGCTGGTTGAATTTTGTATTCTGTATTTAAGTAAAAACTATACCTTAAAGATCAAATTGGCTTAAAAACTTTCTTACAGTGTTATTCACAAATGAGATGACCAGGGAGTCAGTCAGAATTTTACGCCTCACGGGTTAATGATTAAGTTTGTTTTGCAACTTTCTCCACATTTTTGTGCTCAGAACCAAAAGGTCGACAAAGTCAGCTTAGGTGGTTAGGTATCTTGTGTATATGACTGTACCATGGCGATATCTGGGGCTTAATTGATGATCTCGATCACAAATCGCGTTCATCTCCCAAGTTTGCGCTTTCCCGTACAAAAGTTTAGTTCCGAATGCCTCATAATGGTTAGTTTTAAAATGATAACGTACGTAAAACACACTCGCAGGGCGTTGGCTGGGTCGCCATAAGGTGAGAAGGAAGTAGGGAAGCTTGCAAACGAAATGGAAACGAGTGTACTTCTCGACTATACATTTATTACTAACTAATCTTGCTCCTTTCACTACATAATATACTAAGTACTAACATACTATATAGTCCGTTCCGCAACCACGGCGGCTACGTCATCGCACAAACCTGCGGTGTCGCGGTTGAAAACCGCTCCGTGAGTTTTTGGCCTGATTCCTCATTATCTGTTTTAGCTAATGGCAATACCACCATGGTCTTGACACGAACATTGAACAATTTTAATAAATTGCGCGAGAAAACATTCTCTGTTGCACCAAGCATGTTGGAAACAGAACAGAAGTCGGAATCTAATACGGATATGGCCATAAATCTCAAGCTAGATGCTGATTTGTGAGTACACAATACGACGTCTTTGGCTTGGAATTGAATAGAAAGATTTTTTGTATGATACGAAGTGATCGGACGAAAGTCGCGCCTCTGGTGTTAAGTAACACGTCGGTTCATGGCAGTAGCAGAGCCAGAGCTTTAAATCGCAAAGGGACACTGCGTCTGCGCCCGTCACTCTGAGAGAGTAATTTCACCAGCACCCTTGCCCTTCAAAACCGCAACACAGTACAAACATCATAAAAGTGGTAGTGCCCCTCAGAACTTTGCACTTTAAGGCTCTGAGTGACACTGTAACTGTTATGGACAGGCGTGTAGCTTACCATCAGGCGCACGACTTATTCGTCCCGTAACTTGATGTTATAAATATATATATATCAAGGTGGAACCTGAAAAGCAGCGTATAGTGCTGAGGCTCCGTCCTTTTCATTAACACTAGATTCTATCATATTTCCGAAACTGTACCTTTATTAAATTTTAACGATGCCTTACTTTTTTAAACTCGTATCTTATAAAGGATAATTATTTAGGAGATGGCAAAACTTTTTACTTATTTTAAATTTTTTATCGAGG